ATATACTAAGACACTTTTCCGACTATACTACTACTAAGTACTACTACTACTACTACTAATGTACCTACAAGATAGTAGGTGATTATAGAACTTAAAGCTAGCAAATTCACATGTACACACTAGAACAGTAAGAAGGAACATACAATTACTTTAATAGAAGAGTAAGTACATGTACATACTTGATGTTTTCTTATTTGCCATCTTTAACTTGATCTTAGCTATTGTACGGACGAGCCCCCAGTTGTCAAGAAGTCTTTTCAAGGTTCTTAATTAAAATTCGTAAGCTTCCAAAATCACCTACATCTTGCTACCTGCACACACTACATACACAATAATCACATCTCATACCCAGTTCACACTTCCTCATGTCTCTACCTTTTACCTTGCTAATTATTATTAACTAGAGCAGTATGCCAAAATTCCTGTTTAAAGTTAATTACTTAATAAGTAAGCAATAAACAAAACTCAAGAATGTGTTATGATTAGCTTAATAGAATACATATCATGACACATATCCTGTATGAATCTTGACTCAGGATACGTACAGGATTGGCACACTGTGTGCATATCCTGTATGAATCCAGGCGTCAGGATTCATACAGGATTGGCACACTGCGAGCGTTTCCTGTATGAATCTTCACTCAGGATACGTACAGGATTGGCACACTGTGTGCATATCTTGTATGAATCCAGGCGTCAGGATTTATACAGGTTTGGCACACTGCGAGCGTATCCTGTATAAATCTTGACTCGGGATACGTACAGGATTGGCACACCGTGTGCATATCTTGTATGAATCCAGGCGTCAGGATCTATACCGGTTTGGCACACTGCGTGCATATCCTGTATGAATCCTGATGTCAGGATTCATTGTATTCATACGCATTTTTTGCTGTGGCCTTTAAACACTACCAACAATATACGTGCTTCCATACATTGAGGTAGCCTATATAATCATGTGCGTTCTTAAATATTGAACCTTGCAAATATAGAAAACGCGAGAAGTTTTTTAATTATCAAACTTGTCTCAGTATTTCGTTCCAAACTTTTTTATTTTCAAAAATAAAGTTTGTTTCCGAGTCTGTTAATTGCGTAAGTTAGGCCAAGGGCGTTACAATACCCGGGAATTTATCGGTTCGTCCAGTACTTGTTTGTGATAGCGCCCTCTGTAGGTCACTGTGCTTATAGCCTACAGTAATACGGGGTAGGATATCGGGAATTCGGTCAGTTTCTATCCGTCGATTTCGCTATGATTTGAAGCAAGTGTGACCACTTTATCCACTTAAACAATTTGATAATTGATTAAATCTTTAAACAAAATCGATAAACACGTCATACACTTCCTATCTCCTTAGAAATTAGCATGTATTTATGGATTGTGTTTTCGAACAAGGCTCGACCCACACCAATAGGGAAATCCTTATGCTAATTAGTATGACGTCATATTTTCCTGGGGAATCCTAGATTTCAAAGCCTCAGTCTGTTATTGTGTCAAATGTAAACGCTCTTGGGACGCTCTTTTGCAGACAGAAAATTGACAGATTAGCTTTTAACTTTCAGCTTTGATGTTTAAATATTCTGTATTTCTACCGGACTTCTTGCTGAATATCATATAATGTTATAACTTGATTTGGATCATTGCCTGATTGATCATTCTGAAATTTTGATTGTGATTCATGATTGATTGGCAAGAAAAATAATTCCTATTGTTTTCCAGCGAAGTCAAAATGTTACAGCATGAGTTATAATGTCGAGTTTGCATCATGTTAAATTCTGCTAGTGATTAGAAGTCCATGCACAAGCATACACATAAGAGACAAACACACCCAGGCTCCAGGCCGTGGATGGAAATATAAAACTATTTAAGGCACAAACTGGTATTAATAGACCGATATGTAGTGTCTGCCATGTATTGAAGGTAAACCAATCTGTATTATTAATGTTTCTTCTATCAATACATGGGTTGTGCAATAGAAAAGCAATGGCACAATCAAAAATGTGCATATCAATCGTGAATATCTCTCGGTTCAAAGCTTATTTCCAACAGAATCGTGTCAAAATATGTGTCTGAGTAACAGTTATACATCATAAGATCGCAAACTCTTACCAATTATCAGCCGAATGGCTCATTTTCAACGAAATGTCCTTAAGACAACAGCCCTGGGTCGCGCCTGAGACCAAAAACTACTTCAAATAGCCCTCCCCTAATTATATTGGATAATCACATTTATGCGTGCGCGCGCAGCTCATCCAATGAACGAAACGCCACTTCCCGCTGAAATCACCGGGTATTGATCTTTCCCTTGGTTAGGCCTACGTATTAGTATAAATAAAACATGTAATGGTTAATAAGGTTGAGGATTCTAGCTATTGACTCTGTATATCTTTCATTACCACTTAGACCAGTGGCGGATCCAGGGGGGATGGGGCCTGTCCCCCCCCCCCTAAGTTGGGCCCAGAAAAAAGGCCTTAAGGCCCAAAAAAGTGGGCCTTTTTGGTCATTACTAGGCCTCAAGGCCTTATTTTTTACCTTCAGGCCAAATTTTGAAGAAAATGGGCCTCAAAATTTCAAAATTTGGGCCCACTTTTCGGTTTTAGGGGCCCAAAATTTTTTTCCGCGGACGTTTTTTTCTCTGACCGAAAATCCCCCCCCCCCCCCTTGTTGGTTCCTGGATCCGCCGCTGTAGACATTATCACTTTGAACCAGATTCATCTGCACCGATGCCAAGTCACAGTTATCAATCAAACAATGGTATTCTCATTAGTACAACTAATTATGTTGATTAATTACTTCACAAATCGAGCAAACAATACCCCCAAATCGAGGCTTATAATGCCAAAACATAACTCAACATCATAGACTCTCATTAAGATGTCAGAAATCGACTTCATTCTGAAACTGATGGATGTACGGGTCGACGTTGAAATCATTTCCTTTCGAGATAATCGCTCTATTTGTCTTAGATACGATACATGCTTTTCATTGCGAATTAACTCTTGGGTTTTGATATGTAATTAACACTACTACACTCCCCTACATAAATTTAGCAACCGAATGTTATCTTTTCAAGCACTTATTAAAACCTGTTTAAATTTGGCGATTTACGAATATTCATCAAAATTGTCATGAATTCCTAAATATTAATATTTTATCTTTGCCTTGTTTAATGTCACGGTATTATTTTATGTTTGATTCAATAAAAAAAAGAAGAAAAAAAAGAAAAAAAAAGATTAAGATTCAAACATTGACACGCTTTGATACATTTTAACTTAACCGCCCGGTTGCCAAACTTATGGAGGGGACTGTATGTTTTGAAATATGAAGCTGAAAATGTCAAACAATTTCACCGTCCGGTGGACCGACTGTGAAATCTTTCATTCGGGTGAGACGGCAGTTTAAACGAGAATGTGGCGGCGACACAAAATTACTCCATGTGTATTTCTACCTCAATCAGAATACGTAACGTATTCAAGAATCAAGATAGTTTACGTATAAGTTATACTTCACTTTATGTTGACCTTGAACTCTTACCATTTCTGAATTTCACAAATGTGCCTCGTTTTAAAAAATAAGGCCCGAAAAAGCCAACTTAGAGTTCTCCCAGATCCGTTAATCTAATAATAACAAAGAATTGTATGTACCATCTGCGCATTAAGTGATTTTGGTTTCAAATAACCAGCTCACCTCTAGTTCGATACTTCAGATATGAGCTACTGGTTCGAAGTTTGCGATAAACAACGAACGTGAGCCATAGTCATTATTGAATTATGTAAAAGCCAAAAGTCTTATTACTGATTACGTTAATACAGACGAAATAAATTCCCAGTTTCCCTGCGTTCTTTCAAGCTCATCTGTTTGTTTAATAAATCACGGCCAAGATCTTATACTCGTATATTAACTCTTGAGTTACGCACTCGCTATCTTCTATGATACACACTTTTTAGAAATCTTTTTAGAAAACGTATACTTGAACGTTGACCTGTGATCTCCCCCCCCCCCCCACCCCTATCAATAATTACTTGGTCTCAATCGTTCTTTCCCGTCCTACTAACCCCCCTTTCACACCAAACAATTTTTTAACCGTTCTTACCAGTCCTACGGTTAAAGCCGTAAATGAGCTAAATCAGGCTGACATAGTCGTGAAGTATGTCTAAAATAATTAGCTACTTCGTTCATAATCAGTCTTCAATACGTCCATCTTATTCGCACAGATCGCACCATGTCGGTGTGCAAACGTATTGCAATCGATATCTGATTGCACAACGTTGTATTACGCGTCTCTAGTAGGGTTGAAGTACGGCAACTACGCTCCTGGTCTAATAGGTCATCTCGTTTGAAGTACGTTATCAGACGAAATTCTTAATCGCCTTCCCCGTCCGGGCAAGTCCATGAAATTCGTAAGTAGACCGTAGAACGTTGTAGCTACGTTCGAAAACGTTTTAAAGAACGCAGTGACAACTTTGGTGTGATAGCTATTTTTGTTAAATTATTCATAAGCTACAAACGGTGTATTCACGACTGCAATTTACGCCTGACTGCACAACTTCGTAATACGTCCCTAATAGGATTGAAGTACGACAGTTCAGTGTCCCCAGTGCGTCCAGGTCGTCTTAAGTACGTCGACGCTCGTTCTAATTGCAGAAAGTAACGTCATCAGAAAATTTTGAGCATGCTGTAAGTTCTGGATGACCTACTCGTTCGGGTAGTTTGATAAATTTTGTAAACAGACCCCAAATGGTTCTTAGTACGCCAAATCCGTTAGTGCACAGTTTAAACCCGTTTTCGAAAACGTAGTGAGAACTTGTGGTGTGATAGTAGGGTAAAGAAGTCGTAAAACGGGCTAATCTAAGCTACTTCGTTCATAAACAGTTTTCAAGTACGTCCAATTTAAACAGTTTAAGTCTGGTTTTGTGAGTGACAGTATGGTTATAAAGATTAGTTCTTCCGTTCGTTGTAAATACCAAATGAATGTATGTTTGTACAATGGTTATTTGTTTACCTCATCCGCTGCGATTTCAACAAAGCTAACTACGGATTCTTCGCCATCCAACAGCACTGACACAGTTTTATCAGCACTCTCACCTGAAAATACAATAATGAAAATACAATAACGAAAATACAATAATGATTTGTATAGATACAATAATGAAAAAATTGAATTAAAAAATGCAAATATTAGAAACGGTGAAAGTACAACGATATAATACATTTGACGCCGAACGCTGAACACCAACCGCCGAACGTCGTTCACCGTGCACAAAAAGACCATAACAATATGGAAGTACAGTGACGTTATTACAATGATCGTATTGGTAACGGCTAAAGGTATGAGTAGGTAGAATATAATTTCGTCACATAAATGTATCATGTTTGATTTCAAATGTCAAGGTTTTACAATAAAAATAGCAAGCTGGGTGTTTTAAATAACTTTACAGCAGATGTAGCTGTTTTATTTATAAAAATGTTATTGTTTTTAATTCAAAAACCAAAGAACTTGTTATTTGCATTCTTTGTAATATTGATCTCGTCGTGTCGGTTATTCAAGAAATCGGAAGGATGTTCAAATACCAATTATGAAATCATCAAAGAACTAATTTGTTTTATTTCTGCAATAATGTGTCTTTTGTAAATAATATTGATCGTGTACTTTTTTAAAATAACATAAGAGTGTTGTTTAAGCATTAGTTCTTTTGTTACATTTTACAACATTCTCTTGTCGCTAAAACTGTTACACAATTCGATTAATTCAACTTGTTTTTTAATTCAGTTTATGGAACTTTAAAGAATTAACCTCTTCTACGAATATACATAGAGCAATAAGAAATATTCGCAGAGTTTTTCTCAAAAATGGCTCTTACTTTGACGATATCAATCTTGCACAAATTAGATTTTGAAATATGTGTAAGGGATCACGTTTAGAAATTAGTAAATTGAACCTCACGTAATATTGTGTTTAATGTAGTCAAATGGTAAAAACGAAAACGCCCTGAGTTAATGGGCGGCATCTATTGTAAGGGGGTTAGTAACTTCAATAATCTTGCAAAAAACGAACGACTTTGTTTTTAATTTCTTTAAGTGAGATAGACAGAGGGCAGTCAATCATATATCAGAAAGTACTAAATAAGTTACTTTTGCCAGCAAGTTAACACCCTTGTACACCTCAATGCTGAATTCGCTTACATAATGATATGGCGCCAGTAACGTGATTGAAGTTGGTGTATCATCACCCTGTGCGAAGTGACCGGAGTGTGTTAAACCATAATGGGTGCGGAAAATGACGAAAAGGTGACACAAATCAGATAAGCATAGCACAGCTGAACTGAGCCGACTAGTGACGTCATACCTATGACCATTTCTCATCACATTAAGAGGAGGGAAAACCCCATAATTCAATTGATGGCATACGATTTCGCACAACTCCTTTCCCGGAAGTACGTATATCATACTTCCCTCCATCTTGGTTTTAAAAGTTTTCAAATTGACCTAGTTTTAAACCAATCAATGATCGACTCGCTAAACCAATCAGCGACGATGTCATCTCAATACAGATTTACATTATAAGCGTATGTCATCTTTGAACCCTGGGGTTTCTCCCCCTCTTCATAGCACGGTTGAACTGAGCTGACCAGTGACGTCATCATAACCATTTCTCATCACATCGCGATTTTATTGTGGTAGCATTATTGGAACCAAAGTATCTTGTATCCCTTCAAAGAAACAAAACACTTGGCGTTAAATAAAGATAGACCGTACTCTACTCTGGTAAATCAGAACTTTGCGGGAGATTTAAATTGTATCTTTAAACGACTGTTCTGCAGAATTACGCGTTTGATTACATTAAACTCAAATCTACGAGCCAATTTAACTCGGGTCGCCTATCAAGTTTGTTTCGTAAATTCACATGTCGTAAATACATGGAAAGGTATATTGCAGTAAGAAGTCCCTTGGGCCCGATGGAACATTATGTAGTAGCCATTAACCACCCTAATTGCGTGCGAGAAAGAAAAATTGACACGGGGAGAGTGAATTCTGAAGCCCCTTGGGACCAGAGGGGCCTCCAAAGAAATTTTCCTAATTGGTTATGTTGCATGTAAAATTAGTATTGGTTCTTATTGCGTATCGTGTTGCTCTATGAGGAGGGGTGTCGATAAATATTGATAAAAATAATTTATTGAAAACACGCATTTCTTTATTTATAGTTTAATTTTGTTTCTTAAATTAACAGTTTCGATAGGGGCAAAGGCGACGAATCTTCGTGTATTGGGGGACAAATAAGTAGCTTATTCTTAAGCAAGACACGGAGTGAACATGTCGTATCGTTTACAGTATACAGCTGTAGTATAGCGTTATCACCGGGACCTAATGAGATTGAAAAGTTGCATCAAGAGGGAGAAACCCCGGGGTTCAAAGATGACATACGCTTATAATGTAAATCTGTATTGAGATGTCATCGTCATTTGAAAACTTTGACAACCAAGATGGAGGGTAAGTACTTCCGGGAAAGGAGGTGCGCGAAGGAGGAAATCGTATGTCATTAATTGAATCATGGGGTTTTCCCTCCTCTTAGTTGTATCCAAGGAGGAAAATCTCGATTATAACCACCTTGCTTCGTATGTTCTATATCGACCAGACCAATATGTGACGTCATAGTGGCGGGCCAATAACGCCCGGCAATTTTCCCCGGGAAATTAGTTATCGTTCAGTGGTAATAATACTAATAACGTCATTTCTGCGGAGTATGGACCTCGGTCCAAAATTTCCTTACATTGCCCTTCGAAATTAGGTTATTGTTCTATTACATGTATATCTGACTATCAGACTATAGTGATTGGTCTGAAAACGCTCAATTTCGCAACGTTAAATCCTAAATGACAACATTGAACTTAAAATAAAAAATATATCTACCCAACATGCCCAAAGACTAATTCAACAACTTTAGTACTAATATAACGGTAACGTCTACATTGAGAACAAATACAAACATAAGTAATACGCCTAGCTGCATCTGCTACAAAGACATGTTTCTATTTGATTGATACACCAATAGATTGAATTAAATTGCCCTAGAACAATGTCAGAGTGAGAGTAGGATTTTGATTTAGAGCAAAATAATCCGAGAATCATTGATTTTATTCATTGTGATTGGTTGTTTGATCTAGTTTATTTAAGTTCCCGATAAATCATTATAACGATGAAAGCAATATGAACATACACAATAATATTTGGGTTTCCAATTTTACAAGATAACTTCTCTTTTTACTTGTAATCATTTTTGTTTCATCTATCATTTACACGACCAAGAACATAACGTTTTTAGTGAGAATTACTGATATAATTGAAATAGGCAGTTTTGCTTTCTGGAAATATGGTTTAGAATAGCTAAAAACAGTGCCCCCGTTGTTGAACAGAAGAATTTTTGATATTCCAGATCGATTGTTTTCAAAGTGCTAAAAAATGAACACGCCTTAAACCTCGGTTTTTCCTGAAAATTAAACATTGAACATTTTTATTAAGTTCGCATTTTTGCTGCAACGATTGATTCAAGAAATTGCATTGCCTTCAACATGTATTTGATATTTTTTATGTTTGTCCATTTGTTGTGATTCGAGATTATTCCTTTTTGATTCTCGCGGGCACGTAGCCAGCTTTAGCTAAGGGTATCTTTTTTAAAAATTCCAGGGGTTTTGACAATTTTGGTTAAAAAATGACCGATTGAAAAGTGCTCAAAATGGTGAAAACTGCATTTAAAGATTTTTGGCCAGGCTTTGAGTGGGGGTTGCTCGAACCCATCGACCCCCCCCCCCCTCCCCCGGCTGGGCCTGGCTGTTCTCGTATATCAACATCAGCTATATCCACGGGACAAACTAATTGATACTAAAAGAACGGATATATAAATTGCCAGGTTACATCAATAGCTTCATCAAATATTTGATTAATGTGGCAAATAAACTGAAAGCATTAACATCACTTCAGAGTCAATCATGTTGGGATATTAACAGAACATTGATATATTTCCTTAAGCGATGACTTTTAAATGTCAAAAAACTTACCAGATAAGTGGAGTTGACAGATGACGTTATGATTTCTTTTAATGCAAAGATAGAAATAGCATTGACACTAATTACAGATTGTGTACATATGCTTTTTTTTAGAGAAACCGGGGAAAGTGATAACAGGTGGTTTTAAGCCCACAATGTTTACCACATATTAATCACGATTATTACCGAAGATGCTCCGAGGATCCAATCAAATTCCTTGAAGCATCTTCGGCTATCTTCGGTTTCGATACAGGCATCTCCGGTAATCTTCGATTATCGCGAAGTAAAATTCGACGATGGCATTCCAGCCCCTGGAAATATTGATCGTGCAACAAGTTTCATAACAAGCATTATTGTATCCATTCCTCTACAATCCTTTGGAAATCAAATGTTATAATCAAAGACAACACGGTCCAAAATTTGTCCATTAATTAATTTCCGGATATTCCTATATTCAGTCTGTTAACTAAAGTAACGCTAAATGTAATAAAACTAGATGCGCAACAAATCTGCGCAAAAACAAATTACCAAGTAATTTCAGTTTAGTTTGATTGATAACACACACGCCATGTTATCATGTACATAGCAGACAAAATAGTGATTATTTCCTGGTGATTAGTGTACCAGATTCAAATCAAAATCATTAATGGAGATATAAAAATTAAAACCACCTGATATAAACAGTCAATTAATCTCAGACACGTCAAAGGATGGAAGAAAATAATATAGTATATGCGACGCATTTTTACAGCTAGTGGTAACAAATTAATCCCGGGAGTGCATTTCCTGAGCAATAAAATAGGGCGAGGACAATATAATCTCCGTGACTTATAGCTAATAAATAACAGGCAAGCAAATCGGGTTTCCGTACTCTAATCCAAATAATAAGCAATACGTTACAGTCGCCGTTTTATACAACGGCTATATTAGAATACAACTGAGGAAAAAAATAGATTAGGATACAATTGATGAAAATAATTATTCGAAAACTTTTGAGATAGCCACATCATTGCCTGATAGGTGCTTATTGGGTGCTTACTCTCATCTATCTTGCCCTCAACTAAAACGCTAATTGCTATATTATATATCTCAAAGTACAGTAAAGCATAACATTTTGGCACGATTGTAAATTTCGCGATTACTGTACACCTCGCGAAAACCTCGCGAAATTAGACGCATGTTAGATTAAAGTGTTATTTAACTGTACTATGTACTGTATATGAGTGGGAAGTTAGAATACCATTGGAGCTTTAGTCAAGGGTGTCATTTAAAAATTCCAGGGGTTTTGACAATTTTGGTTAAAAAATGACCAATGGAAAAGTGCTCAAAATGGTGAAAAACTGCATTTGAAAGATTTTTGGCCAGGCTTTGAGTGGGGGTTGCTCGAACCCATCGACCCCCCCCCCCCTCCTCCCCGGCTGGGCCTGGCTGTTCTCGTATATCATCATCAGCTATATCCGCGGGACAAACTAATTGATACTAAAAGAACGGATATATAAATTGCCAAGTTACATCAATAGCTTCATAAAATATTTGATTAATGTGGCAAATAAACTGAAAGCATTAACATCACTTCAGAGTCAATCATGTTGGGATATTAACAGAACATTGATATATTTCCTTAAGCGATGACTTTTAAATGTCAAAAAACTTACCAGATAAGTGGATTTGACAGATGACGTTATGATTTCTTTTAATGCAAAGATAGAAATAGCATTCTGGCAATAATTACAGATTGTGTACAGATGGTTTTCTTTAGAGAAACCTGGGAAAGCGATAATAGGTGGTTTTGAGCCCACAATGTTAACCACAAGTTAATCACGATTATGACCGAAGATGCTCCGAGGATCCAATAAAATTCCTTGAAGCATCTTCGGCTATCTTCGGTTTCGAGACAGGCATCTCCGGTAATCTTCGATTATCGCGAAGAAGTAAAATTCGACGATGGCATTCCAGCCCCTGGAAATATTGATCGTGAAACAAGTTCCATAACGAATCATTATTGTATCCATTCCTCTACAATCTTTTGGAAATCAGATGTTATAATCAAAGACAACACGGTCCAAAATTTGTCCATTAATTAATTTCCGGATATTCCTATATTCAGTCTGTTAACTAAAGTAACGCTAAATGTAATAAAACTAGATGCGCAACAAATCTGCGCAAAAACAAATTACCGGGTAATTCCAGTTTAGTTTGATTGATAACATACACGCCATGTTATCATGTACATAGCAGACAAAATAGTGATTATTTCCTGGTGATTAGTGTACAAGATTCAAATCAAAATCATTATTGGAGATATATAAACAGTCAATTAATCTCAGACACGTCAAAGGATGGAAGAAAATAATATAGTATATGCGACGCATTTTTACAGCTATTGGTAACAAATTAATCCCGGGAGTGCATTTCCCGAGCAATAAAATAGGGCGAGGACAATATAATCTCCGTGACTTATAGCTAATAAATAACAGGCAAGCAAATCGGGTTTCCGTACTCTAATCCAAATAATAAGCAATACGTTACAGTCGCCGTTTTATACAACGGCTAGATTAGAATACAACTGATGAAAAAAATTAGATTAGGATACAATTGATGAAGAGAATTATTCGAAAACTTTTGAGATAGCCACATCATTGCCTGATAGGTGCGTATAAGGTGCTTACCCTCATCTGTCTTACCCTCAACTTAAACGCTAATTGCTATATTATATATCTCAAAGTACAGTAAAGCATAACATTTTGGCATGATTGTTTGCGCGATTACTTTACACCTCGCGAAAACCTCGCAAAAATTAGACGCATGTCAAATATTAAAGTGTTATTTAACTTACTATGTATATGAGTGGGCAGTTAGAATGCCATTGGAGCTTTGGCCCAGTCATATTATGCATGACCTACTGATAAACAAATTGTGAAATTCAAAATATAAACGCCAATATTCAATCTACTAAACCCTCCCCTGTGCTCGCCCGGTTTGATTAACATAAAAAAGGTTATACAAATGAAGGCGTTGTCACGTTCCTCATTGAGGATAGCCTACAAAAAAACTACTGGAGTTGCAATCTAAAACTGTCTTTATTACATCGTAAGTTAATTACAGGCGCTATAATATATATTTATTTTCTTATCACAAAAGCCATGGATCACTCATTGTGAATATTATACCGTTGACATTTCTTTCTATTTTCCTATTCACGTTCATTTGTTCGATAACCTTGGAATTATATGACATTATTTAGAATGCAAATTTAGAGTGATATGAAAAATTGTATTCTAGAATCATTTCTTTTCATTTGGTATCACGTTTTAGAAATTGAATTCTGATTGAGAACATACTTCCATTGCGAGTGTATATTTGGTATATATGTACTGTTCTCGCTGTATCCATAACTTGTCCAACACATGGATCACTTGAAAAGTGATTGAGTTTCTCAAGTTCAAACCAATGCTAGGTAATTACGTAAACACTAGACAACCAAGTACCTACACAGCGAAGGTTCGTTGTGAACTTTGAAGGAGGTTCCACTGTTATTGCAATAAACTAAAATTTTTAGATTCTATGGAGTATAGTGCAAGAAGAGGGAAATTCTGATTTTCTATAAAAATACTTATTGAATAAATTGACCATGGCAGCCAGCCAGATATTGACATTGCAAAGTCAGGATTTGCCACTGAATAGCTAGTTATTGGTCATGAGCAATCAGGTATATATTAAACCAAGTACTGAATCGAACTGCCAGGTCTTGCCACTGAATAGCTAGTTATTGGCCATGAGCAACCAGGTATATATTAAACCAAGTACTGAATCGAACTGCCAGGTCTTGACATCGAAATGCCAGGTCATCACACTATTCAGGTATTGATATTAAACAGTCAGGTCTTGACACTTGAATATCAGGTTATCACACTATTCGGGTATATGAGACAGTCAGGTCTTGTCATCACACTATTCTTGTATTGATATTAAACAGTCGGGTCTTGACACTTGAGTGTCAGGTCATCATACCATTGTATTGATATTAAACAGCCAGGTCTTGACATTGAAATGTCAGGTCATCACACTATTCAGGTATTGATATGAAACGGTCAGGTCTTGTCATCACACTATTCTGGTATTGGTATTAAACAGTCGGGTCTTGACACTCGAATGTCAGGTCATCGCACTACTAGCATTCAGGTATTGATATTAAACAGTCAGGTCTTGACACTTGAATGTAAGTTCATCACACTATTCAGGTATTGATATGAAACAGTCAGTCTTGACATTAAAATGTCAGGTCGTCACACTATTCAGGTATCAATATTAAACTGTCTGGTCTTGACACTTGAATGTCAGGTCATCACACCATTCAGGTATTGATATTAAACAGTCAGGTCTTGACATTGAAATGAATACATGTAGCTAGATATTGACATTGAGTGGCATTGTTATTAATATTGAACAAGCTTACTTATTATTTATGTAAGTTTTTTATTCGGCAAGGCTGATTATGTTAAACCTGAATGATGGGGTTACCCTGACACAAGAAAGCCTTTTATTTAAATATTTTTCCATTTGATGCTCTAATATAAGAAAAGCTTTGTTTGATTATTTCATTAGTTTCATTACAAACCAAATGCGTGCTAACTGTGATAATTCGAGGGATTCACTTCCCTGGGGATTCCCAAGGAAGAGGAGGAACTTATCCATAATTCAAAGATGAACCAACATTCATTGTAAAAGATATGCACCTCTACACGAATATAAGTTTATCTATGCATCCTGGGTAATGCATTCCCTCTTTCCCAAGGGTATATTTATACGTATCTGCACTGATTGAAGATTTGACACTTTTAAATTTTTACATACCATTTATTGCATCAATCCCTCCCATGTATTCTGACGTCATGCATTGTTGAGCTAATGACGTTTTTCCTACACCCGCCGAGCCAATCAGAGCAACTTTAAACACAGGAGTAGTTTCATCGGAAATGTCCGAAGGTATGCTCCCTTTTCTGTCATCTTGTATGGCCTGGTCAGATGCAACTTGCGTTGAGGGATTTGATTTAAACTTAAGGCATTCTCCCTTGTTTTTAATTCCCCGTGCTGTTCGTTTAAAGCTACGACAGCGATAAAGTCCGGGTTTATCATCGGAATGATTCGTGTTCGTTTCGGGTTCGATCGGCGAATACATGTCGAACTGTTGTAGTATTTCTGATATGTTCTGGGTCGGGACCTCCTGTGGCTCCATCTTGCTAAGCTCAGAGCCCACAACTACAGTGTGACGTCGCCTGTGGTGGCGTTTTGTCTTCAGCGCTCGTCCTTTTGTTTGTGTGTCCTTCTCCAAACTCGTTTCCTCATAGGAGCCCCTCCGTGGAGTAGGGCTTACAGCCAAATGATTGCCATCATTAGATGATGTCGATGACCCGAGCCTAATATTCTCCGATCCTCGCCGTAATAGTTCACGGCCGTTACGGCGATCTTGACTCCCTCCACGATGCCGCCGTACTGGACACGAGTCTATAGCATCGTTATTGATTGTCAAATGATTAAGAGTATCGTCCAGGGAATTCATAATTGTTTCATCTCTCATTACCTTAACTCGAGGTCCAGAAAGCGTTAAATCCTATAATCCCTTTCCGGAATACGAACGCCTTCTGAAATCCATAAAAATAAAAAAGATATTAATTTCATGCAGCTTTGTGCAATTAGACGATTTGGGTTAAATTATGTGATCCATAATATTCTTGATTGGAAGCAGATTTCTTGAATTGACACGTACTTAAGAAGATATTTGTTAGATTGATTCACTTCAAAGGCCAATAATGACCCTTACAAAGAATCTCAGAAATAATTAGGACCCCGGGTTAGAATCCCACTCAGATACCTACAGACTCTTCTTATGGGTTGAGTTTTAAAAACGTGTAGAAGCTGAAAAGGATGACATTTGAAATTTAAGTAAGCATGAAAACCATGCATTAAAATCGTTAGTTTTTCATTAAAAAACAGTTAAAATAACTCTTAATCGCACTCATTGATGTGATCACGTAATAATTGATTTGAGAGGACACTGTCCATAAGTAACCCACACAACGGTTATAGATACCTATTAAAAGAAGCCGAGTTATAATTGGAGTTTTTATGGACTAAACTAATCAAATATCTTACCCCATCGATTCACGTGTAAAGAATTCAGAAATCCATTGCTATATATGCTTTAAATTTGAGTGAGAATCAAAACTCCAAGTGTGTAACTTTAAGAACTGTTTTTCCGGAAATACGATCGTTAAACGTAATAGCTGAATTAACAGAATCAAGGTCCTGGGTTTATAATGTAGAGTACATGGTCAATATATAATATGCCATTTACGACGACGTAATTGCATTACGGAGATTTGTGAGCGAGAATAGCAAATAATATTTGCGATACTGTACTGGATAATATTGAATTCCTTTTATTACATCCGGGTCCTATATAGTTCCGTATTTGGTAACTGTCTATTGATGTTAAACAAAAATAGCTCTTTACGATCAATTCGTGTAGCATCAATTGAGGATGACATTAACTGTGATTGTTATGGTCCGCGATTAACTTTATTAAGAAATAATCAACAATTATCCGCAAACCTCTATAGCTGCAGTTTAAGAGTATACACAGTACTAGTATTCTTAAATGTTCCCTTTGCGCAATTCTATGAAAGAGTTTTAAGCTATAACGAGTTCCACTGAGTAGCCTTGGATTGGTGGGTTTTGGCGGGCAGTCTATCCGTTGTCGGTCTTTTGCTATCGGAATTCGTCCTTGAAATTATATTTACTCTAGAATGTCGGTTCCATATAAAAGAGCGGCTCGCTTGGTAAACCTTTGAGTTTTCTTATAATTGATTTAGTTGTTTATCGACGTAATTTCCATAATTCAGTCACACTTGTCCATTTCGGTATTGCGTTCAATTTCAAGTCATTCGGGTGAACTGGGTCGACTATATAGCCATCATAACCGTTTATAGGCAACATTGCCGTTTCGCCAAGGATGTACTTTCTGCTAATGGCATATACAAGTTATTTTCAAAGTGTGTAGACTACAATTATACTTTGTGTAAATCACTCAAAATGGTAAAGTTCCGAGATAAGATTCTCTATGTTGGTACCAATCTCCAATATCAGGAAAAGGATTTGCTGATAAGTTTGAAGGGCCAGAGATAAAATGCTCAGAATATCCCAAAGTTATATGCTCTCGTTAAAGAACGTCCCTTAAGATAACGGTCAAATAAGGTAACGTGATTTAAATACGGGGTCATGGGAAACGTCCTCGTGTGTATCCCCCATAAGTGCTTAGGTCGTTGGAGTTTTTGAGATCTCCAAAATTAGCTATCTTAATTTGTCTTGGCATTTACACGGTTTCCTTCCGTTTCGTGATTAATTTTAAGAAAATGTAGCAGACATTGTCTTATGCAATCGTGTTGTCATGTTTGACATGAGGTGTTGTCAAGTGATAAAACATCAAGAACGAAGTCATATACAACCTGAAGGGAAAATGAGAAATACCTGCAAATAGAAGTCAGAGCTTGAAGACAGAATCAGATCTATAGGGCGTGACAAAATTGCAAACAACATGTACAATTGACCTAAATATAATATAATACCTTTTAAAAGATCAGATGCTATTAATTGATGAAGTTCTTTCAGATTTGAAGTGCAAAAAGTGGAGCAAATGTTGAAATTCTCCCATATAATATTTAGAGGTTATGTCACTATCGTTGCATGTATGCCCGAGGTCTCAGTGATATATGGCCCGACCTTGGGAGGGACATTGATCTCTGAGAACCGAGGGCATATGTGCCACAGTGACATAAACGATTTATAACATACCTATGATGATGTAGAATGGTCAGAGAGTACCGTTTTCTTATAGAATTGACAAACAAATGGTTTGAAAATGATTGAAATGAGTTTAGAAAAAATCCTCGCGCAGTTTTATCTTCGATTGATTGGTTATGACGTCAGCGCCTTGACCAATCAGAAAGTAAGCGGGCGCGGGCTTTTCAAAACTTATATTGGCCCGCTGTCTTGTGTACACTATGCACTATACATCATCATAGGTATGTTATAATAATGAATATGGTAATCATATAGAAAAAGTGATTGCAACATTGCGAAAATCTTTGGTTTTTCTCATATAAAGATTACACTTTGTGGATTCTTAAAAATAGACACGACAAGGATTGATATGAAGCCAAAATATTCTAAAATTGTCACTTTCTTTGTCAAAACGACTACTGACCACTATCAGCTCACTCGCCAGATGGGATATTTCATTCTGGCGACTTTGTGCCCCGCGCGACAGAAAGAACGGGGTATCGTGCGACAAATAATTTGAGATTGTCATATATATTTGACCACGAGTGTATCATCACCATGATAGGTACAACATTCACCATTTTCCTCCAAATGATGGAATATGTGGATAAACATACACCATTGCTCATAATTATCGGAAAAGTGTCAATATACCATTATTGTAAAATATTTCAGTGCGTTTTGAAAACTTTAACACTCGGCGATTGGGCGCCGTAACCACGAGGTTGCGAGTTCGAGACGCGTGTGCTCCTTGTGTTTATTCATTAAAGAATGGAACGTTTCGAATGTTTTTTAAGATTCTTTAAGTTAAGGATGAGTAGTTTTTTCTAATTCTAACCAATTGGATGAAATGCACCTACCCCTTATTTAACCTAATCCACACTCGCAAACTCGCCAACATAGCAAAGGTTATCGTACTTTATTCGCCAAAACCATTATCATTTTTCTTATTTCTGTTTCTATAGCCTGTGTCTTGTATTATTTTTCCTGAATACGTTTTTGAAAGCAGTTAAGATGGCCTTTCTGTATTCCGAGTTATATATTTTAGCAATACGAACATCTCAGTAGCGTGCTCGAGGGTACAAACTATTGGCTAATCGACAATTTGTAGGTTAAGTAGTGAAGCTACACCGTTGATTATATATAAGAAGATTTTTCCCAATTAAGCATGGTAGAATGTTACCTCAAAATAAAAACTTGTCGAATGATTAACCAGGATAACACTTGTTTATCAGATCTAAAGAACGCAATGTGTAATCATTAAAACGAGTGACGAACTTGTCACCTTTACTCAATATATATTTAAGGATTTAAGCCCTCGACTAAGTGCATTGCGGAGTGGATCATTCCTCAAAAAAATATGTTATTTCAACCTTTGCACGAGATGCCAGAATCGAGTGTGAAGTTTAGGGAATAAAGTTTGAGTAGAATGAATCAGCCTACGCATTACGTCTTGGGCGTAAGTTCTTTTCACTCATTGCAAAACATTGTCTGCGAAATCACATACAAGATACAAAATCACTAAAAGAACATATTTCAATGAAACTTATTGCAAGGGTCAAGTTGACAAAGCATCAATTTCAATCTGTAGAGTCAACTTGTCACGTTGACAACTTTCCAACGAATGAACTTGGGAGATTAGGTGGTGATATATTGCAGTGCAGTTATGTGAAATGCCTTGCCTAGCTATGTGTGAATATGTCATTATCGTGGATGTCATCGTCATTATACAGATAAGGTTTAAAACCAGCGATACGGTAAACAGTTTACCACGTCAGTCAGGTTGAGGAGATCCTCGCTCTTTGGATTTAAGGAGCCCGATTGTTTTTAGTGTAATCGTATACCAAAAAGACGCTCATATTATCGTAAAACATACGAACTCGATCCGCAAGATATCATTCAACAAAGTAAAGTGAATTAATTGAAAAGATAAATTTTCATTGAAATATGAATCCTGCGGATAAAGTCTTTTCATGAGACATACGATGGGTAGTTTGGATGCTACGGAAAGGCCATCGGAGCAAAGAATATCGTGTAAGATCCTTGAACTCATTTTTTTTAAATTCCTTCACGAATCAAAACCAAAGAATATACTCAATCATGAGCAATGATATGTTTTATTCATTTTCGACAATTTAACAACGTTGCTAAGCTGTGATATCATTCGAGAGACTGATAAATAAAGCCATACGAGACTGTACTTTATAAGTTATCGGAAATTGAGCCGAAAATAGTATAGTATCTAATTGTTACAGAACTCTGGAGAATTTATATGAGTTATCAGGACCTTCTAGGTCCCTTGTGAGACATGATGATCAATCACTGCGAGAATTGGTTCAAAATATCGGTCAATCATTGCAGCCAAACTCGATACATTATTGATTTCATTAAAAACAGGCTATCAGCAAATCAAAGGCATTATAATCACCTGCTCGTTTGTCCGAACGACAGGCGTTAGTTGCATTCGCGAATACAAGCTAAGTTATTTTGTGAACAAAATGGATATCAATATTGGCATGGAATTGTTTTTGTCACAGACGTCCAATTCTATCCAATTCCATTATTATACCCCCGATGGGTTCAATAAAATAGATTTAATTAGTTTTGATAGTCTCAAAGCAGTAAATTTAATCATTTTCGATAGCCTCGAAGCAGTAGATAAGTCAATTGAAGTTAGAAATAGTCTCACAGCTCTAAAGAAGAAGATTAAACTAGTCTAAGAGCTTCCTGACACGAGTAGCGTCATTTCGTTATTTTCTTTGAGATTATGATTAGTCTGGACTTTAGATTTCATTTTCATTAA